TTTAAACGGCTTCTCCCCTGTGTGGATCATCTTATGGGAAATAAGATGATGTTTTTGAGCAAAGGTTTTTCCACACTGCATGCATTTAACTGGCTTCTCCCCTGTGTGGATCATCTTATGAGAAATAAGAATATATTTTTGAGCAAAGGTCTTTCCACATTCCATGCATTTAAATGGTTTCTCTCCTGAGTGGATCATTTTGTGCTTTTTAAGATTACTGTTGTGAGCAAAGGTCTTTCCACACTCCGTGCATTTAAATGGTTTCTCTCCTGAGTGGATCATTTTGTGCTTTTTAAGATTACTGTTGTGAGCAAAGGTCTTTCCACACTCCGTGCATTTAAATGGTTTCTCTCCTGTGTGGATCCTTTTATGGATAGTAAGTCCACTGCCATCAGTAAACATCATTCCACACTCCATGCATTTATGTGGTTTCTTCCTTGTGTGTATCCTTTTATGGATAGTAAGTTGAATGCTTGTTCTAAAATATTTTCCACATTCCAAACATTTATAAGTCTTCTCTTTTGTGTCAATCGCTTTTTGAGATATAAGAAAGTTATTCCCAAGAGGAAGAATGAATGTCCCATTGTAATTTTGTCCGTTGTGTCTTCTTATAGTATCTTCTCCTTTGTTTTGGGTTAAATAGTGTTCATTTACTTGTACTTCCGCTTTGATTAGCTTCATACTTTTTCCAGTATATTTTTTCCTTATTTTCCCTTCTTGGGCAAGAAAGTCTTGCATCGGAGCATCACTGGAAGATGAGCTTTCCTGATTCCAATTCTTTGACTGATTTCTCTCGTGGCTTTCAAATTCCATTCGAATTCCAAAGTTCTCTGTTCCATCTTTAGCATTGATCACTTGGAACAGTTCACAGGAATCTTGATTTTCCTGCCCATTATTACCTTCAAAGCAAAAGGGAAATGAAAATGATAACAAGGGTAGAGAAAAAGATCAAAGTGTAGAAAGTCAAGTGAATTTCCTTCTGAATTTCTCAGAAATTCCATTAGGTTGTATGTTTTTGCATGCCTACAGTGGTGTGATATAGACATCATGATTTCTATATTCATGAGTCACGAAAGCTTTGAAAATATCTAGAAAACATCTCATACTTTACAATTATCAATATACATGCAAATCTCACTCAGAGTCAGTTTCGAGTTAAGGAATAATCAAGGGAAACATCCAAGGAGGAATTAGGAGAACCCTTAAGATTTATTGGGGTGGGTTAAATTCAGCAGAGACCTGTGAGAAATGAAACAATTTTGAAATAAGCTCCTTCTTCCCCATTGTACTTTGGAGCAGCTGCTCTACGGCGTCTGTCTGGCAGACAGGAACCCTGCTCGGCCTCTTCCTCAATCCCAGTAATGAGTTTGGAGATAAATCTCTTGCTTGAAGCCTCCCATTGCCCTGTAAACGCTCTTCACGCTGAGACTGGAAAGGTTGGGAGGCTTCAAGAATGGCTATTTCGCTGCCCCAAAGTCCCATCAGCTTTCAAAGGCTCTTTGGCTGGATCTGGTACATGTGTTGGTTCGCAGAGAACTGAGGCCTAAAGTACTTTAGTGCGAGATCACACGAGAACAGTAGTGCAAGATCTCAGGCGACTAATTTCACATGATCTCACACCGCAGTACTTTAGGCCTGGGTTCTTTTAAGAGCTGAGGACTGCACGAGATCCAGGGCAAAAGTATTTAAAAATGATGAGGGGTTTTTCCCTCTCTTTGAAAAGCTTTTTGCTCTTGGTCTTGTGCAGGCCTTGGTTAGCAGAGAACAGAAGCCTAAAGCACTGTAATTCAAGATCACGTGAGATCAATAGTGCTAGATTTCCCACTACTGACCTCACGTGTCTCTCACTACTTTGGGCCTCTTTTTTCTGCGAATGCACCAAAGTAGGCAAAGGAACCAATGGTTGGCCAATTCGTCGCAAGGTACTGTATTTTTCGGACTATAAGATGCACTGGACCATAAGATGCACCTAGGTTTAGAGCACTGGTTACCAAACTGGGCAGTACCGCCACCTGGGTGGTGGTGAGATGCCTTAGGGGGGTGCTAAGAGGCAAGGGGGCCGGCAGGGGGATGCTAAGAGGTGGCGGGGGCACTGGAGGTGGGCCCCTCTCAGGGCGCAATTCAGGGGTGGGATTCTACCGGTTCATTACCGTCCGGGTAGTTTGGAGAACCGGTAAAACAGGCCGCTGGCTGGCCCTACTCCTCTCCACCCGTTCCTCCGTTCCTTGCCCAGTCAGTCCTCATTGTGCATGCGTGACATCGCATGCATGCGCAACAATCGCTGACAGCCACAATGGTGCGTTGAAAAAGTGGAGCAAGCAAAGCCAGAGGTCGGTAATTTTCACTGCAAAAAGCATCCGGACCCCATGGTTTTTTCGGTGCAGCTGGAGTCCAGCTGTACTGAAAAAAACATGTAGTGGCTGTAGTTTTTTTGCAGTGAAAATTACCAGCCTCCGGCTTTGCTCTGTTTCTCCAACACGCCACTGCTGCTGTGTTCTAGGCACTGGCCATGCAGGTTCACCCCATTGACTGCTGCACCACTCCACTATCATGTGCTTGGGCAAGTCCCTCCGGCACCTAGAATGCGGCCGCAGCAGTGCATTGGAGAAGCAGAGCAAAGCCGGAGGTCGGTAATTTTCGCTGCAAAAAACTTCCAGCCACCACGTATTTTTTTTTAGTGTGGCTACAATCCAGCCTCACCTAAAAAAACATGCAGTGGCTGAAGGCATTCCTGACAAGGGCGACTTGGGCTGGCGGGGAACCCAGCGAGAACAATGGCTCAGCCCTGGCTTGCCTTCCCTGGCAGCCAGCCGCTGGAGGAAGATAAAGTCACAGCCGTGGGACGATGAAAGAGGCAGTCGTGGGGGAGGAAACAGGGAGATTAAGGGCCGGGGCCTCTGGAAGGGGAAATGAGGTGATGCAGGATTAGCCCAGGCCTTTGACAGATTAGGCCATGCCTGCCTGGGCAGAAAATAGGTAGTTAGGTTAAGGAAGGGATAGAGAGGGAAAGAGAGAGAAGGAATGAGAAAGAGAGAGGGAAAGAGAAGGAGAGAAAGAGGGAAAGAGAGAGAGGGAAAGAGAAGGAACAAAGAAAGAAAAAGGGAGAGAAAAAGGAAGAGAAAGGAAGAAAAGGGATAGACAAAGAAAGAAGGGGGATGGAAGGAAGGGACAGAGAGAAAGATCGAGAGAGAAGGAAAAAGAGAGAGAGAAAGAAAGAAAAAAGAAAGGGAGAGAGGAGAAAGTGAGATACCTAGTCCAACCACCTGTTCCAGAAGGGTTAGTGTGTGTGTGTGTGTGTGTGTGTTTGTGTGTATATGACTGTCAAAACTCCCAAAACAGGTCAAGTAGCTCTGGGGAGGTCAGTGATGAATTAGAACACTTGCTAAGCAACCTGCCATTAAGCGAGGACCACTTGTATTTGGTTTGCCAATCACATGGCCACCTGGCCATGCCCACCCAATCACATGACCACCAAGCCATGCCCACAAATTAGGCCACGCCCAGAGAACCAGTTGTTAAGAAATTTGAATCTCACCCACCCAGGCTTGGGTGGGGGGCACTGAGGAGGAGTTTGTAGCACCAAGGGGGCGGTGGACTGAAAAAGTTTGGGGACCACTGGTTTAGAGAAAGAAAACAAGGAAAAAATTAATTTGTACCTCTGCGTGTCCCGTTTTTAGTCTTTCCGATGCCAGGGAAGGCACAAACGAAACCCGCAGAGGCTTCCGGAGACCAAAACAGGGCCCATTTTTGGCCTGCAGAGTGCTTCTGGATGCAAGGGGGAGCAAAAACGGGACACAGGGAGGGTTTGGGAAGCCAAAAAAAGGCCCGTATTTGCTCTATAAGATGCACAGGCATTTCCACCCACTTTTGTTTTGTGTGTGCATGTGTGAGTGTGTGTGTGTGCGTGTGTGGAGGGGTGCATCTTATAGTCTGAAAAATATGGTAAGTCTCAGCAAGGTGGGGTGGGGAATAGGTAATGTTGAAGGGCCTCTGCTGTCATTCGTAAGTGTGAACGACGGCCATGGTGCTGCAACACTCATAATTACGAGACTGGGTCTCAAGTACTTGGGGAAGGGCTGGTCATAACTTGGAAGGGTCGCTAAGAGAACTCGGGGATTACCTGTACCCTAGGATGCTCTGAGTCACACTGCATGAGGCCTTTGTTCTTGAATTGGATTGGGAGAGTGTTCTTCCATGGGCCGAGTGTCAAAGTTCTGTTCTCACACAATTTGGGGAGGTTTCAGAGGACAAATGACAACACACTCCTCTCACACAACCTCCGGAGGACACATAAAAGCACACCTCGCTCTTTTCAGCCTCCACAGATAAGTTCAAATAGAAATGGAAAACAACAGATAAGAAATGGCACAGAAAGAATCTAAGCAAAGAGACAGTGATTCTTTCTTTCCTTGGAGCATGAGAAGGCCAGATCCTTTCCTTCTCTTCCCCACTGTGGGGAGGGTGCTGAAAGGGAGGAAGCCCATCCTGTGTTTTCCTGCAGACCCTCTGAAAATCCCTTATTTAAACTGAAGGTTCTGCTTTATATTCTAATTTTCTTCCCTGTTTCTGATCAGTGTTTTTTTTTAATAAAAAACTAACTATAATCTCTCTTCTTGATTGGGGACTAGAAAACTCTTACCCAGAGAGACCACGTTCCTATGGTTTTCAAGCATGACTTCCGAATGCAGCGCTTTCTGGTCAGGATCCAGCTGAGACCATTCCTCCTCAGAGAAATACACAGCCACCTCCTCGAAGGACACAAGACCCTCCTGGACATGGAAAAAAGAACAGAACAGGAGGATTTGCAAGATCTGCTCATCTTCATCATTGATTTTGACAAGAGGATAGAAGGGGAACTCATCAAATTTGCCGACAAGACCAAATTTACAGGAATACCAACACTCCAGAAGATAAGCTTGAGATATAGAAGGATCAACAGATTGGGCCCCATTTAACAAAACGAAATCAACAGTGAGAAATGTAAGGTTCTAAATTTAGGAAAGAAAAACCAAATGCACTGGCATAGAATAGGTGATAACTCGCTCAACAGTAGTAAGTGCAACAGGGATCTTGGAGTTCTAGTGGACAACAACTTAGAGTCAGCCCTATGCTACAGTTGCGCCCCCCCCCCCCCTAAAAAAAAACCCAACAGAATCATAGGC